ATTCGCATAAAGTAGAAGAAGAAAGTGCAGTAAAATGTAGTTAGTTCGATACGATTAAGATTTGGTGTTACATTTTAAAAGATCAACCTTATTAAGAGGAGTAGCGCTAATTTTTTAGTCTTAATTAGATCAATTGTACGTTATAGCTTAATGGGCTCTAACACCATATTATAACTTGAAATTTCATTTTATAAGATCAATCTTATTAAGAGGAGTAATATAAGCCCTTATGCCATATTTTACTCACTTTAAATTAAAATTCATTATTTCTCATGCTTACTTTCAACCACACATTCACGTGTTAAAATATTCTATAAGTATACTTAAAACTTCTTCCTACTTTTTAACTATACATTTTCTAAAAATCACTATTTAAAACATCATGTTCCACGTTCCGTTTATGATGACCATCAAATATGGGCTATATATGTTGGTACCGATGTGAAATTTATCCAATAACATGCCCTGCAAGATGAAGATGGTGGCTCATTTGAGTAAATCAATCACGAAATTCGCGTGCTCACTTATCATTCTTAATTGGAGCAAATTGCTTGCTGGAGGTGTAGCCCAGGCACTTATATATTAATCTATATTTTTATATTTAGGTAATTATCTCTCGTGGGATTTATCCCTTAACAAACACTCACTTAAAGAATATGCATACGGAACTTTCATCAAACAGTTATTATGTGAGCAGTATCCCACTGTAATAGAAAAATGAAGATACGAAACCCATATTTACAGTAAAACAGATAATTAAATTTTGAAAAAAATGGTGAAAATGGACTACCTTTTTGAAAATTTCAGCAGGCTGGAGAAGATGAGAATCCGTGGTCGAGTTTGGGGAGATATATAGTGAAGAGTGGTCATTTTGGTTGAGCGAAAGTGAAGGTTGATGGGGGCGGAGAATGAACTGTGAAAGATGGGTTTGAACACACACTAAGACTTTGCCAAACGCTTGGAGAAGATGCTGCAGTGGATTTTCAGCCATTGTTGACAGAGGAGAAGCTAGTTTTCTCCGCGTTGCACACACTAGCGTAAAGATTGAAGAAGAAT